ATATATATATATATATATATATATATATATTAATATACATGATAATAGTATATAAAGAATAAAACTCAATATAAAGGGTAAAAACAGGACAAGCCTTAGTCATTTCTTTCATTAGCCTTTTATATTTTTCTAAGTTACACAAATTCAATATTCGAAATCAAATTACAGCAACAGAAACACGTATAGACACCTTCCTAAATAAAGCTTTTAGTAAGAATTTTATAATAAAATGCATGTGAGAGTGATGATAGGTGTACAACAGAGTTGGGGAGGGGTAGGGCTAAGGCTTTATGGCACTTTTCACGGAATGTAGAACAGTCCTTCAACACTACCAAAAAGATGAAAATAAAGTTTAAAAAACTTAATTCCTCAGAAATTCGATATCTATTTCTAATCGCAAGAGTAACTTTTCGGTGAAAAAATTGAGAATACATGCATTGGCAGGATCTAATGGGCAATGAAACTTAACATTCTCCTCGTTCAGTGTAGTGGCGCGACCGCCGACAAACTGACGGTGCAGCCCTATATGAATAGATACGCATGCATGTAACGGGGTAAACTGCGCGACACAATGAATGACACTAAAAAAAGAACCTCGGAATTGAACTCTGTCTAGCGAGTTCCTTTCATAATAATGCCAGATCAGGAGCCCATCAAGAGTTATGGGCTCCTGGCCAGATTCTGAATTACCAGAGTACACTATCCCACACTCATATGCATTTTTACAATTTTACATGTGCTCGCTTTTTCTTTCCTAATGTTACAAGTTTTAATGACAAACTACTGCGGATGCGATGAAGTCGACATCGCGAGGCGTTTCCTCAGCCGGTCGAGTCTAGCGTATCTCAAAATTCCCCCTAAAGGTCTCTTGCATCAGGTCAAGATCTTGAATTAAGAAAGTAAAATAAACAGAAAAATGTTATTTCTAAACAAATAAAGCCCTTTTTAAGTCTGCGGAAACTACGGAAAAGGTCATGAGTGTCTATTTTTAGTTCGCGAAAAACGGAAAATTCAAAATTAAACAAGTTTGTTCCCAGTGTCATATAATAAACTGCTAACTAACCTCACTTGCTCGGGGCCTACTGGAGAATATTGTATGACCCTTAGTCGTTTCGGTCCGTTTTGCCGAGTCCTCGGGAAAATGTTCCCCAGCGCGACCTTCACACTCGGTTAGTGAGAAATTATTATTCAGACTGTAAATACGTGGCTCTTAAGATAAAATTCAAGAATACGACCTTCTAGATTTAGAGCTGCTAGTTAACAACATCATGTAGTGTTGCTTAATTTTTCATACGATTGAGGTGGTTCTCAAAGTTAGTCAATATATAAAACCGCTAAGGGGTGTAAATGTTTCGATCTACTCTCACCTCTCTTGAAATCCCGAATTTCTCCCTCGAAGACGTCACTTTCTTCCATGGGAACTGCAATTTCTAAACGAATAAATTTATAAAATTATTGCA